AAATAAAATATTTTACTATGTAGAAGAAAATTTGATGTAGATTCGTAATGTTAGGGTTCTCAAATTGTTTAATTATTTAATATAAAATTTATTATTTCATGAAATTTGAAAAACTTTTGCAGCTTTATCTTGTGATGAGCAAACATTTTATATACAGCGTGGCATATATGTATATGCCTATAGCAATATATTCCTTGCTAAAAATTTTATATGTTGCAGGGAAATACCCAACATATTCAAATATAGAGATTATATCTAAAATTTATTGCATTTATCCATGTACTGCTGTATTTTTAGCAGCAGCATACATGGGTTGATTGCCTTTGAATGCCAAAGGTTGACAAACTTTCTAATAATTGCTAATTTGTTCTAAATACTAAGCTTTTATCTTCATTTGCTAAAAGAACCTATCTGTATGAGGTAGTGAGCATTTGAGCTGTTTAAAAAGTTTACTTAGGTTATTAATCATTGGGCAATCCCAATCCCAATAACCAAAGCTATTGACTTTACAAAGTTATCTAAATATATTATAAATATTAACACTCTATTCTATTCTAAATTCCTTTTTCTGCTCTATTCACTATTCTAATCTATATTCGGCAGATAAATGAAACAAAATTCTGTTTGATAACATAAATGTTCAGTTTTATTTTTTTTGTCATCAACAATGCAGAAAATTCTTAGAGACTATCACGATCGGGGGAGGGCCTAGAGGCAAGTCAGCAAATACGATTCCATAGCCGATTAGTGCTCCGGTACATGGGGATGGGCAGCCAACCAGTCGAGGGAGCGCTGGATTGCCTCTGGGATCGGGGGTGAGGTTGGCAGCCACTCGCTCTTGGGCTGATAGCCGTTCTCATCGGCCACATAGACAACATCGATGTGCTCACCCTCGGGCGAAATCCAGCCGAATTTGCCCTGAATGTTGCCATGGACATCGCCGACCTCCGAGCGTGTGATGTGGTTGCTGGTCTCCAAGACGGCATCGAAGCCATCAGCGCGGACATCTTCCTTGCGGTTCAGCACCTCGGCGTGCACATCGTCGCTCAATGGGCCCACTGGAGAGGCGGCGGCCAGGCCGATAACAGCGCAGATCAATACCTGGAACAGGTGCACAACAATTGGCCACTGTCACTCGTCGAATGCCAAAAACCCAAAAATACTTACAAGCTTGAACATTTTGATTTGAATGCAGTTATGGAACGTGAAACGAACGTTGACTGATGCTCCACTGTGGGCCGGCGTTGCCTTTTATACAGTTCGCCGGATAGGCGGCTGAATGCTGCAAGGGTGAATTCTGCCGGGTGCATCAATATATTCAAATTTGTTCCAAATAACAAAATACTGTTATAATATATTATAGAATTTAATCGCTAAACTGCATTAATAGCTAGTCAGAACTGGTGGTGCTGCCCCAGAAAACTCGTTTAACTTCTAGCAAACAACTTGGCCGAAAAGAAATGAAACAATCAGTTGTTTTTAATCAAGTCGCAATTTCACATAATTTGCTTGTATATATACAAATATAT